TAAAAATAATTATTTAATTAACATTACCGGTCATGCTCAATACATCAATAAAAAAGGATATTACTTAATAACACAACCTTATGCGGGTAGTAGGCTACCGGGACTTATATATATTTACTGACAACTCTTCTGAAATTACGGACATAAGAAAACGCACTTTGATAAATCATACTTCCTAGGGGCACTTTCTTGCTATGGAGCTCTCTTTCCAAAACTTTATAAGTTTTGCCAAGATCAATTAACCTTTTTACGTGTATTCTTTTTGAGGCAACTCGTCTATCTTTAGGGGCCTAATTACTGTTCCTGGGTCAAGTTGTAACTGACCCTTTAACATGGAAGGTGTGTTGACATGGGCAACCCTTCACTTCAAACGAAGCCCTGAATCCTCAAGAAAATTATGCCCACCTTGCCGACTTTGACATTCAGGTACACAACAATACTGAGGCATGTTTATTAAGGCCAGTACCACAGTCCAACGTATACAATATCCAACATGGCGACCTAGGAAGGACTGAATTCACACTAGCGACACCTGGCGCCAAGCGGGCTGGTATTCCCCATTGTTTTGGGCAATAACATGTGCCGATACATCCTCAATTGAGCGTGAAATGGGTGAACGACTCATCTAACACACTTTTGTTAGAAGATCGTTTTACCAACGCAACCGACACGTTCACCTCAAGCGAATGTGTGCGCTGGATTGTAATCAGCGTGGAGATGGTAAATTTACAGCTAAAAACCCAGGATTAAAAAAAAATAATTTGGATGAAAAAAGAAATTCGTTCACACTTTAAAAAAAGTTTATTTTAAAGTTTAACTTAATTACTTTACATGATGCTTTTGCAACCAAGAACTTTCAGTTAATATTGTATTCGACAGGGTTTTAAAAGTATGAAAATACATGTATCTTAGACATTTACATCATTTTGTGCATTAAAAAACATTCAAAACCTTTTACTGTAACTTATTACAAAAGGAAAACTCAATGTGGTCTACATTGTAGCAGTGTACTCACTCCCTGACCTAAAAATCCAGTTTGTTGCACAGAAATTTTTCATGATACATTCATTTTAACTCGAAGAATTAAATGTAGACTAATTCTTTAATTTGGTTTTCAAGGCCTAAGCTGCTTTTTTTTTCAGTACTAGGAGATAATACACTGAATACTGACTCCATACAAAACTGATTCATTAGTTCGAGCTTTCTCATCATTTTCTCATTCATCATTTGCTTCTTATGTAATAGTTCCTTTACTGGTACATGTATATTATCTTGTAAATTCTCCATAGTGAAATTTGATCATAGATGGAAAATCTATTTCTCTCTCTTCACCTTGCAATATTTCTGGCAAAATTTTTCCAAAATTTCTGAAAATAAAACAATGACGGCCGGGTTAGTAACATTTATTTTCAAGACATATATGTTCTCAAATAAGAATATAGTTACATAATTAACTCCATTTACACAAAAAAAAAAAAATAATAATAATAAAAATAATAATTTTTTTTAAAGTCACCCAATATGCCAATTAAATAGTAGACAATGCAGTAGAAAATTTTCCAACAGTTAGAAGAATCATTCCGTCCACAGGTTTTAAAGGATTAAAATAAAGAATTAAAAATCTGACAGACACAATAAAATACATTCTGTTCAGAATCAAGTGCACAATGGTTTTACCTCTGAAGGACAAGTACTGGTAATTGGAAACCTTTGACTTCATGTAAAACCACTTCCGACGAAGTACTTGTTCAGATGGAATGCTACAACCAATTTAAAAAACAATCTCCTTGTGATTTAAAATATTTAAAAAATACATTTTCATAATTGTAATAATAAAATGAAGGGAGAAAATATCACTTTTATTCATTAAAAAAAAACAATCATACCATTTACAATGAACTTCAATCCAGAATTCTCAGTCTATCAAATGAGTTAGGAAAAAACATCCCGAATTATAGCAAATATAAGCTAAGTATTACAAACCCCACTCTTATGTCTGCCTTCAACTTCGACAAATTACATTTCTATACTATGTGGTTCAAACACTTAGACCCCATTTCCAGAGATTAGGTCTATCTACTTTAGATCGACCTAACTCCCTGGGGGTTCACGCTAAATAGCTGTCAGCCGAGCGGACACGAAAGTTAATTACCCCCTTACAGCGTGTAGTAGGCGGGACGGACATTTAAGCCGGATTATCTGACAGTAATCTAGTGAAACTCCCCGCGGGGATAGATCGATCTAAAAGCTCTGGGAATACAGCCTTACCCAGGAAACTTCTCCACAAGAGTTTTCCAATTCACATCTGCTTCACAGACAACATTAAGTTCATAAAGGCTAAAAAATACAAATATATGTATATCTATGAATTCTCTATGAAAATAAAACATGAACCAAAATAAAAATGTTTAGTCAAATGAACAGTAAATGATATCACTTCCAATCCTGACCTTAAATCTTTAACCAATCAAACACTGAGTTTCATTCACCAGCTTCATTTTCAGTTGATCAAATCTAATGTGTAGAACAGTTTCATTAGCTATGTTATTATAATAGACTTGTGAAGATTCTTTTGTCTATAGCTATTTATATTAGTTTGATCTTACCATCCAATATTTCATCTGACTGCAAGCAGATGAAATATTGGATGGTAAGATCAAACTAATATAAATAGCTATAGACAAAAGAATCTTCACAAGTCAAATCTAATGTGGTCTTTAATTTCAATTACATAATAGAATAAAAGGAACTAACAATCCCTACCAATTAACCAAACTAGTCGCATGCTTTTTCTCAAACTGATGCATGGCATTATCAGCAGGAAAATCTGTACTGCAATCATGGTTCAACCTGAAACAACATATATAACTATCAAAGTTAACTTTACCAGATATCAAGGACTGCCTTTCTTGTCCAACTGGACCAGTGTCTGCCCTGCACCCAGCACTGCACCACATATCACAGACCTGGTTCCTAACAGTGTTACAGTCAGACTTAACTGACAGCTTTTACATGACTACAGTTACTGTTTATTTTGTTATTAGTATTCTAGTGATAATAATGATTTATCATGAAGATGTATTGTCAGTGTGTGTGTGTGTGTGTGTGTGTGTGTGTGTGTGTGAGGGTGTATGTGTGTGCCTGTGAATCTAAGTATATTTGAAACAGCAGAAAAGTTCTATCTACCCCAGCCTGGGAGGGGACCTTACCACTGGTTTCTGCACTGTGATGCAGTTCTTGTGGGGACAAAGTGGGCAATTTCCCCCCAGGGCAGTTGGCTTGAGAGGCTGGCCAGGTCCTTGCACCCAGTCAAATACACCACTCCATGTCTCAAGTTCCGAATTTCCTCTTTTGTCCATTTCCCAGACTTTATTACTAGAAGGAAATAGGTCATTATTTATATTAATTAACTAGAGGATCAGAGAGGCGATACCGCCTCTGGATATTGTACCACCAGCTGGGGTAAGCGTAATCGTATGGAAAACCACCCAAAAAAAGGGACACCATCACCAGTCTTGTGCTTGATAAGCTCTATAAAATGCAATCAAGATGCCTCAAGTTATGCAAAAAACAAAAAAAAAAAAATGCAAAAAAACATAACTAAAACGGTCCAATCATGCAGATTTTCGAACTGACCTGTATTTTCCTAACATTGATCACTCCTGTGATTTTCTAGACAACAGGCCTATTGGTTTTCCTTGAAATGTGCAATCAGTGTTGCATATATGCTGACAAAAGAGAAAACCTAGGGGCAACACTGGGTATATCTCTGCTAATTTTGAAGATATGAGGGGCTAGATAATATGCAAAGTGCAGTTCATGGTGGAAAAGTAGGTCAAAGGTCAATTTCAAGGTCACAGTATATGACTTCCTATACATGTTCAATAGTAACCATGGGCATTTCTCTCTCTGCCTATTTTGGAGATATAAAGGCCAGAAAACATGCAAAGTGCAGTTCATCATAAAAAGTAGGTTAAAGGTCAATTTCACAGATTGCCGTATGTGACTTCATATTCAAGTCCAACAGTAACTTTGGATGTATATCTGCCTGTTTTCGAGATATAAGGGATAGAAAAATTTGCGAAGTTAGGATCATGGTGAAAATTAGGTCAAAGGTCAATTTCAGGGTCACAGTTAGATTGCCAATATATGACTTCCTATTCAAGTTCAACAGTAACTTTGGGTGCATCTCTGCCAGTTTTTGAGATATAAGGGATAGAAAATTTGCAAAGTTCAGTTCATGGTAAAAATTAGGTCAAAGGTCAATTTCAAGGTCACAGTTTGATTACCAGTATATGACTTCCTATTCAACTTCAATAGTAACTATGAGTGTATGTCTGCTAATTTTCGAGTATTTCACATTTTCCCTATTGAATATCCAATGATGAACTTTTTGATATAGTGCAACGCCTAAGCCATATCGAAAACAAAAAAAGGGCACTACCCTCAGTGTTGGGCTTGACAAGCTTTACAAAATACACAAGCTTTACAAATTATAGGTAAGATCTGTTTAGTTTCTGAAAATCGGCAGAAAAAATTTTTTTCCACAAAAAAATTCCTATTTTTAGAAAATTTTGGCTCGTTTGACCTTGAAATAAAGGTCGAAAATCAAATCCAAGGGCATATTTGGAATCTCCACATATGACTTTCAGTCAAACTTCCGTAGTAAATTTTCCCATAATTCCTTCGGTTTGGGAGATATTTAGCATTGAATTTTCAACAAGGGTGCGTTTCAATCAGTGTCACGCCCAGGCCAATGCATCGACTGAGACAAAAATACCAGGGGTTCAAGTTGAGATTATATGTGATCTAAATCCAAGAGATGGGGACGCAGGTCCTTGCGGTCTAGGAGGAGAAGCAGTAACGGTGACTTGTATCCCACGACACCCTGCGGAGCCAATGGAGCTGGTGGAGCAAGCGGAGCCAATGGAGCCGTATGAGACGGGTCTGGGACTAAAACCATGAGTACCGCCAGCATACACACTGGTGGTACTAATAACCATGACAGTAATCTATAGTTATCAATACAAAATATTCCATCAAATGTATGTACTTTGTACTTCTGATACCTTTCCTTCATGCCTAATATAAAAATGCATTTTGCAGAGCTTTTTAATTTTTGTGATCTCAAAGTTTATTCACTGCAATCTATTGTCATACAGTGTAATTAACAACTTCACAATCCAATACAAATGTTCAAATTCTTCAAACAAGGCATATTCAGATAATACAACAGTTATTAATCAAAACCCCAATTCAATTTGATAAGTAACAAAAAGTCCACCGAAACACCTTGAACAAACATTAGACTGGATATTTGACTGTATGTCTAAAAATTATGTTTGACAATTAATTGAACCATTCCAGCAAGTGTTTTGACGTGTTTAAATTCCACCAAATCTGAAAAACCCGGCACCCTCAAGGAAACACTGTCAGCAATCAGCTATATAAATTCAATTTTTTGTTTTCTACAGAACGGACTCTTACCACAGTCAAACAGGTACATGTATCCCTACATTTTTTCTTTTAATTTTGAATAAAAAAAAAATTACCCTCTTTTTCACTTCTCTCCCGAAGTTGCTTCCACTTTGTATGCACATTTTCTGGACTCCTTCCCATCAGCATACCAATCTTCACCCACTTGTTGCCGTATTCATATTGCAGCTTCTGCAGCTGTTTGACTTCCTCATCAGAAAACCTGTCAAAAAAAAAAAAATCATCATAACTGTGACATGTCTTAAATACTTGAATTAGCTTTTCCAGTTTGGGAAGGAACTAAATTGATCACAAAACATTGTGCTTAAGCATGGGATTTTTGAAGTAATTAATCCATTCAAAAAACAGACCTGCAGGTTGCACATGATTCAAAACTATTTCAAGATGGTTGACAGGGAGCAAAGTTCATCAGGAAGTGATAAAATTACTTCTGTCAATATTAATTTATTCTATTTATCTGTTTAAAATGATCAAACAATATTATTTGTCTGTGGATAAGTTTAATAGGAAGTGGATTTTATGATTTCAAGTAAAAAATGTGTTTATAAAATCTTACACTTTGTCCCTTTAAAGTTACACTTTGTCCCTTTAAAGTTACAAATGAAGCGGGCACGCATTCCCTATAATAAATTTTAACCATTTCTACTGCTTTCTTATAAGACTGAAATAAAGTTGACAAGCAAGGGGTAAACCAAATTAATCACACAATCAGCCATAAAAGAGCTTTAAGACTGCACCTCCTTCAAATCTCTGGTCATAATCTGACCTACCCATCCTTCCAGTTCTTATATGTCTGCCAACTGACTTGGTAATATATGGTTCATTACTGCTTGGGTGCAGTAATTCAAATGAGTTGCCATTAATGACTGAGGCTTATAGCTAGCATATCAGAAAGAAAGCAGAAAACACCCATTTTATTTTTTTAGAAAATAGGAAATTGGAAATGATGCCCTTTGGTATATCTTTAAGTTATGATGTTTGAAACTATATAGTGGCATTAGGTCAGGTTTTATGGGCTCAACCTTATGCATATTTATTTTCAATTAGAAAAAAATCAATCCAGGGTTGAGCATAAAAAATGCTCCCAGCCACATGCACATAATTGTTTTAAAGCCAGTGAAAATTTTACATATTTTATCTTCTTAAACTCATTGCCAAATACTTACGGTCCCATATTCAACCCATGAAACAGTTTTCTTGCTTTGCTATAACAGCAGAAGATAGAACGATTTATGCCATCCACTGTAACCAGAGGGAAAAAAACATACATTTCAAAGAAAAACACAATAATCAAAGTAAAACACGGAAAAGCCAAATGCAAAGTATGTTATAAAATAAATATATAATGAAGATAATAAATATCAAAAAGGCATTTTTCAAAATAAAAACTTCAAAGCAATGTGATCTTACAGTTATTCCACCTTTTTTAAAAGTCAATTTACTAATATTTTATTCTTCAGACAGAACATTTTTAATTTCAGATAGACTCATGTTAAGTTTTAAGATCACTCAATATGCTTAGTCACTCAAGGGCAAAAAAATTAAACAAAAACCTCCATACCCAAGCGGTGATTGAAGTCATTTTGTTTCATTATCCGTCTGAGCTCAATCTTCTTATCCTCTGATTTATGTAGCAAAGTAAACAGGTCACTGGGATCTTCAATATCAAAATCCTGGAATTTTAAGATAAAAGAGCTTGTAAGAATTCTTGTACCAATGAAAACAGAATAAGTTTTAAAATAAGCTCTCAAATGTACAGACATGCACAAGTTTCTTTGAAAATCAACACAGAGAGAGAGAGAGAGAGAGGGGGCTCACCTTTGCAAATCTGAGCACATTTCTCCTCAGAATTGATTCTTCCCGTTTGTTCCATTTTCCCCTAAGGACTTCCACTCCTGCAAAGCAAAATCAATAATCCATCATTTAATGGCAATAAACTTAATTTTACATTTACAAGTTCATAAGTGATGTGTTACTTGTTGCAAAGATCTTTCACACAAAGTGTCTACCAAAAATAATCTAAAGACAAAGTAAAAGTAGAGACACCTTTTGCCCTTAATTCATCCTCGACCACTTTGTTGGCTGCATGAGCCCTTGACCCAACAATGTGAACTGGATATAAACCTTCCGGGTAATTATGGCCACCACTCTCCTCACTGTCATCTGCAATAGAAATATTAAGAATCAAAAGCTCTTTTCAAGTATATGTAAGTGACCCCCCCTCCCTATATAACGGGAAGAAAAAAATCTCTCCCCCACCACCAACCCTTCAACACTTGATGAAATAATAATGCTTATAAATTATGCGTGAATTAGCAATTAATGAAAGCACATACTGTTTTTGGCACATACAATACAATAACTATATTCATTAAAATGAAACTTGTACAATTGCTTGACCCAACAGTTCAATTGGCAGTTAACCATTCTGAGGCAATTACAAATGAAATGGCTGAGGTAATAGATATCCAGCATATTTATGGTAACCAAAGTTGTCCTAATAAACTGATTATAAATATTGACCATTCCCAGACCCTATCGTACAAACTGTGAATCGATCCATCTCTGAGGGGATTCTTGCTTAATTGCAAACATCTTCTCACTAAATTGCTTTCAGCTTAAGTGGCTTAGATGTCTGCCATGCCTACTGAAGCTGCCAGGGGGTAATTAAAAATCGTTTAGCAGCTTAAGTAGGGGTGCTAGACATCTAAGCCGTATAAGCTGAAAGCAATTTAAAGAGAAACTCATAAGAGATTTATCAATCCTGTAAGATTGATCTAGGTATATGGAAACCCAGTCACAGAGCCCGTTTTACCCATCTACAGTAATGTAACTGATTACTTTTAAAACTTTCATCTAAGCCATTAAATTAAGTGGTGGCTTTTTTCACCTATTGCTTTGATCCCTTGTTTTTCTTTTTTCTTCTTTCCATCCTTAACACTTTCCCCTCTGCAGTTGTGTTCAGAGTCCAACTGAACAAAAACACTGGTGTCATTCTGCTCTCTAATATTCAAAGATGGCCTTGCACAGTTGTCCAAATCTGAATTAGATGGCAAATGATTCTTTCTCTTGAGTTTTTTACCCTTAGTTGGCATTTCACAAATTTCACCTTCTGGATTAAGCATGTCAGCACTATCAGCTCCATTTTCACCTATGCCATAATTCAATATCACTGCAGAACTGTCAAGTATTTCAGTTAAGCTGGATCCCTGAACTTTTTTGTTTCTCTTGTACTTTTGTTTCTTGGAGGTGTCTGGTTGTTCCTCTTGAACAGTGGGACAGTGTTCTGTATGAAGAACACTTTGTGGGGATGAATTTTTATTTTTTACAACATTCAATCTCATCAAGTTATGACCATTAAAAATTGTATCAGATGAAGTTTCAACTTTTTTCTTTTTCTTGTGTTTCTTTACTCCAGTAAGCCCCTGAGAAGAGTTACAAACAGCTGCTTTAGAACAGTCTTTTTCATTTGCCCTACTTTGAGAAGCAGAATGCAAACTATCCATAACAGTTGTAGGTACATAACAAGTATATTGCATTCCTGGCACATCATTCCAATTATTTTTAACAAAATCTTGTGAGGCCTCTATATCTTTCTCAGTTTGTGTGTCCTTCTCTTGGTGCCTTCTTTTTTTCCTTTTCTGATCGATGATCTCTTGAATAACAGAAACATTTCTACTTTCATCCCCATCATTATCCTTCTTCTTCTTCTTCTTCTTTTTCTTTTTATGTTTCCCTGTGTCATTTGTCGGATATATTGTGTCAGCAGCAGAATGCAGACTATCCATAACAGTTGAAGTTGAATCACAAGTATATTGCATTTCTGGCACATCATTCCAATTATGTTGCAGTTCCCTTTCTCTTTTTATAACAAAATCTTGTGAGGGCTCTGGATCTTTCTCAGTTTCTGTCGCCTTCTCTTGGCGCCTTCTTTTTTCCCCTTTTTGATCTATGCTCTCTCCAATAACAGACACATTTCTACTTTCATCCCCATCATTATCCTTCTTCTTCTTCTTCTTCTTTTTCTTCTTATGTTTCCCTGCGTCATGTGTCGGATATTTTGTGCTAGCAGCAGAAGGCAAACTATCCATAACAGTTGAAGGTGAATCACAAGCACATTGCATTTCTGGCACAACATTCCACTTATGTTCCTTTTTCCTTTTCATAATTAAATCTTGTGAGGTCTCTGGATCTTTCTCAGTTTCTGTCGCCTTCTCTTGGCGCCTTCTTTTTTTCCCTTTTTCATATATGATCTCTTGAAGAACAGACACATTTCTACTTTCATCCCCATCATTGTCCTTTTTCTTCCTTTTCTTCCTTTTCTTCCTATGTTTCCCTGTATCATGTGGAGGGTATTTTGTGTCAGAGTCAACCTCAAGCTTTACATGAGTGTAAAACTGGGAATCATCTACTGAAATAGCACTTGAACCATGCATTTTCCTTTCTTCTTCCTTTTCGAATTTGATCACTTTCAATTAGAGAATATGTTCCATGGTACTCAAAAAAAGGTGTCTCAAGAATGTCCTCAAGATCAACTTATCAGAGAAACCAAGTTGAAAAAGCTTTGTTTTACTGGGATCTTGTCCTATAGGTCTTCTCTTTATTTCATCACTGAAAAGACAAAGAAATACCATATACCTTGAATTTAATACTGTCTGACAACTATCTTTGTGTAAACATATTTTTAAATTGTAACTTTAGTTTTGGTACTGTAGTTATAGAATACTGCATCTACTACAAGGTCACAGTCATTGTAGAACAAAATTGTACTGTTCAAAATAAATATATGATAATAATAGACAGTAATGAACAAGTACAAGTACATCCAAGTAGCACTTAATTGCATTGGTACTCCTACATGTTTTCTGATATGTACTGTTGTGCCCTAATACTTATTACCGGAATCAAGGTATATTACTGGAATCAAGTTCTGAATTACCGGAATCAACAATAAAAACATATTTATATCCCTTCT